TTATGATTTACCTGATAGAATGTTATTTATTCACGGTAATCCTCACACACATTATTCTTATCCAATCGAAGCAGGACTATGTGTTCGTGATGATGTATATTATGCAAATATTAATAGTTTTTGGATTGACAATCGACGATGGACTGCATGGAATCGTGATCGAATGGATGAAATTTCTTTGACGTATACATGTGCTGCACGTTTGTTGACCTTATTAGGTTTTGATGCAGAAGCTCAACTTAATCCTGATAGTTTAAAACCAAAAGATAAAGGTCTTATTTCAACCTTGTGTTGTGCACAGTTTTATGTGAGAAAAGAACGTATTCATCATTATACATATGGACAATGGGCAGCACTCTACAATGTAAGTCTTCAACCACATTGTATTACAACGGATCCTACTCATGAAGTACTAAGAAGACCTGATTTAAAATGGTTTAGTCAAAGTTTTGAACACTTATGGCATGTTATTCTTGGACTTGATGCAACAAATATGCCACCATTGAAACGAAAAACAAATACGGATCCATGTCATCTATTTCGTTCATCATGTAAAGGATCACCATGTTCGAAATAAGGAATTTGATGTTGCGAATATTAATTGAAATTTGTTTTATTGTTATATTTGAAAATGCTATCAATGATATTCATAGATGATGATTTGTTTTTTTTTATCAGATAGCAATACTGGATAAAGAATCTGAAGTGTATTTTGTAACTATTTGAACTATATGAACTTACCTATTTCGTTTGAAAAGATAGTGAAATTTAATGTTAATAGTTGTACGATAAACATTATTACTATTATAAAGAGTTTAGATATAATGAACAGGTAAACTAGATTTGGTATCGAAGTGTATATAATAAATATCTGCGATTGTTACCTACGAATCGTGGCGCAATCGTAGAGACTCATTCAGGGTGTCGGTTTGGAGATGAACATTTATTTAGCTGTTTTTATATTGAATGGTATAAGTTTATGTTATTAAAAAGTTGTTCGAATAGTATGTAATAATAATCCTATAATACTTTGAATTTATAATAACAATTATCGCCTATTGATTTTGTTTTATGAAGATTTAATTAATAAAGTTTCAAAAGAGTTTGCTTTTATTTGATGTATAAATATTGAACTTGAAAATATTTTCTGAATTTTTGAAACATTCTTATTATTTTAGATATACATAGGAATATACTATTAATTATTCTTCTACTGATAAAAAGCTCTTAGCGCAATCCCTGGCGGGATTAAAATGTGAAACACGATCCAACTGTGTTTGTACCTTCGAGAAGATAGTTTAATTATATCATTATGAATCGGCTTTTACCTCATCCTACGGTATAAATGTATAAAAATACCAGTAAGAAATAATTTACATATGTTGAAGTCATTTGATTATCGTTTTAACAGTTGTTACACAATCCAAGAGAAAAATCGAATAATATAAAAGAAACTATTCACATATCTATCTTTCCTAAACAGTATGAGTTCAATAGTTTCATGTCTATGATGGTCACATTTGTGACGATGTCAGCAGAACATGTGTTGGTCACGTCTGTGACGGTCTATAGTGCTATGTCGGTCACCGTCTTTCACAAAAAAACAATTCTGATTAGTTAACTAGTATTCTGCCATCATATCTTATTCATTCATTTCAACTAACTTAAAAAGATGATTATAATATAAATATCATGTTCATTGTTGCTACTTTAATTTGACCCAATCTATTTGGTATAAATGTTAAACAGTTATTTCGGAGGCAGTAGATTTAATTTATCATAAAGAAAGATCGCCTTGTCTTGTCTAAAATGGTATTAATGTGT